GGGCCCCCCCCCCCCCCCCCCGTGCCTACCCTGGGGTACACACAGGGGCAGAAGCCCCCCTCCCCTGTGCCCCTGGACAAGCTGCCCGGCACTCCCACCATCCCCCCCTGCCCCATTTACCCCTGCCCTGCTCCCTTCCCTCATTGTGGGAGTCTCAATCTGCTGCCCCATTCCCCTTCCCCCCCCACTTACCTGTTGGGCACTGCTGCACACATGGCCGGGCTGCATTTCTGTCCCCTGCAGCAGGCTGGGGGGGGGTGTGTGTGTGTGTGTGTGTGTGTGTGTGTGTGTGTGAGACGCATACCGCAGTTTGGGAACCACTGGTTCAAGGTTGCTCAAGGTATAAGAGATCACAACGATATTGCTACAAGGATCCAAAACAAAACTTGTAAAGACGAGTTTCCATTCCTGATATTTCTAAAGTAAAAATTGTTGCAGGGAAAACTCTTTCAGGCTGACATTACATGTTTCCTACTGAAAATATTGAACAAGTCCAATATTTTTAAAAATTATTTCAGATCACTTAGATTAGAAATTTCACTATGAGCAGGGTGAAGCTTCATTGTAAAACAACTTGAAAGTCCATTGAAATATTCTGGACTTTTCTGCAAGCAGAGTTTAATTTTAAAAGTATTGCCTAAAAGTAGGTTCCACTGTATGTGACAATTTCCTGTAAAAGCTAAGGAGAGTGATTTCAAAGTTCATCTAAATGAACAGTGAATGCTAAATAGAATCACTGTGAAATTTAAAAATAGCCCAAACATTTACTATTTTCCTACTATTTGAGATTAATATTTATACATGGATACCTACAGTGGTTCAATTGTTGTTATAGTTACATGTATGCAAAGTCATTTAGGGTGCGCTTAAGGGAGGGATGAATTAGCACCACTAATTATAATGAAAAAAATATGCATGTGCTGTGTTGTTTGTATTATTACAAATAAGCAAAACTTCAAATTTCTAATGACTAATAGACCTCTTTTGTAATTTTATTTTTAAATTTGATCCTTGAATTTATTCATTTCAAACATTCAAACATTCTCCAAACCCCTTCCAAAAACCAGTATGTGGCTGCTTGCATATTCAAGACTTAGAGCAGGATCATTTTCCTTTATAAAATGTTTTGTCACCAAAATATTGATAAACTAGAGGTAGCATTCTTATTTCTGACATGATTTCATTGTGTATTTTGTCTCTTGATTTCCAGTTGTTATAGCTGCTGATGGAGTTTTAAAGGTAGGAGTACTTTCATTATTTATACAGTTTTGCAACTGCTCTGCCCAGTCTCTTTGATTATCAAATAAATGAGAAGTTGGTATTTAATTGTTTGTCTTTGCCAGATCTGTGATTTTGGTGCCTCAAGGTTTCACTCCCATACAACGCACATGTCCTTAGTGGGCACCTTCCCTTGGATGGCCCCAGAAGTTATCCAGAGCCTTCCAGTATCTGAAACATGTGATACATATTCATATGGTGTGGTGAGTTTCTTGTATTTCAATAATCAGACACTGATATAACAGAGTTAATGGACTGTAAAATATAACAAACCTATGTCCCTAAACAAGGACAGTAGAAAAATGTCACATTTCAAAAAAGGCCCACATATTTTTAAACAATAAGTTGGAAAACATTTTTCCGAGCAATGTCTTGCGTACTTAGGAAGATAAGCGTTTGATCTCATTAACGATGCAGCACAATCTAAAATTCACACTGTATTTGAAATATTCCACCTATGTTGAGATAATGGCAGGAGCAGTTTATATTTGGAATCTCTATTTGTATTTTTGATAACATGGATAATATTCAGTCCACCCAGGAGTAAGAAGTTATTTTAGTAAATTTATTGCAGGGAAGATTGATTAGAATTTTTCCATAAAGTTGTGCGCCAAAAAAAGAGTCTGATTCTACTTCTGCACATCAGACAGCTCTTATAGTGTCTGATAATAGTAAGAAAGGATCCCAAAGAAGAAAAAGACAACAGTATAAAAAGTTTGGAAAGAAACGTAATGGGACTTTTTGGAATGCACAAAGGAATTGGTTTATTCAAATAAATATTGTATCATAAAGGTCAGTTTGGGGCTATAGTAACTGAGGAATATTTTTTTTAATCCTATTTCTAGTCTGGGTCCCTGCAGTCAGTCCTCTGTGGGTCTTCAGTGTAAACTAAATGCAGGAGATTGAGGGTAGCATGAACAGAATAAACAACACATACAGGGAGGAGTAGGTCCTAGTGCATACACGGGCATGTGTTTGAAGGAAGGGATGGAATAAACAAATCCTTCTGAGCAAATACCCACCATTGCCTTGCCAGATTTTTCTAAGTACTACTTTAGACCAAGGCTCATAGCTATACACAGTTAAATTGGTGACATAATGGAAGATTATATTGGCCTTTTGTTAATTTTTTTTAGTGAAAAAATTGTGTGAGAGATCATGTAAAGTGTCTTACAGGCAAAAGGTTCAAGCTGCTTTTGCAGATCCAAAACTCTTGTATCTCTGAAACGAACCAGGTCACACACAAGAATATAAGCTAGCCTGCCATTGTAAATGTTAATATAAACTGTTACTGGAAACAATCAAGTATTAGCCATTGAAGGAGGCTTTTCAATTCCAAATAAGAAAAAGGCAGAAAAGAAATTCCAAAAATGGACTTATAGTTCAAAACTTGCTATATCTTGGTTCTCATGTGAATAATCTGCAAATAAAGTTATAGTAGTGAAAGAATTTAAGGAATTGTGTAATATATTATTATGTCGAGTACTATACAAATCGTAAGAACAATTTACTTGTCAAGTCAAATTTTATTTTCTTTGCATATAAATTGTAAAGACATTTGTTAATTCTGTGATTGGAAGTAAAACTCAAACAACTTGCAGTATAGCCACATGTGATCCAGTTCAGTATTAGTGAAACATTTTAATGCCATTATTTGCTCACAAAATGATTTTTGGCTCATGTATATAGTTATATTAACCAATACCTCACGTATTATCAGTGCTACTTCAGCCTGTGTAATAGTATGTAACCCATATGGTTGTTTAATCATTTGTATGCAGTTTTGTTAGGTGTCACATATTTGTATATATGTTATTAAACATTGAGGAGCTGAGTCACCTGTGTTGTTCCAGTTTCTCACTTCTGTTGCTCCTGTGATTTCAGTGGAGATCCTCAGGTGTAACAGTGGCAAATTAGTCTGGCAAAACTACAGTGGAACAAATTCACTGCTGATTGCTATTATTGACAATAGCATTATGCTAGAAAAAAAATCATCCTATTCTATCTTTGAAAGTTGGAATTGTCCAAAAATAAACTTTAGGCTAGCAGTAAGTAAGCTAAAATGATAAGAATAAAAACCTTAGAAAGAGTAAGATCTCTTGGTCTTACAATGTTTTATCTATAAAATGAAATTTTAAACAGTCCACTTTGAAAGTTTAACACTTGCCAGTGCCCTTTATGTTAGACAGACAAATCTGCTTTTCTTCAGTTGAATTGTTGATAACAAAGAACAGAATCCTTTTCAAATGTAAACTAAGGAGAGGTTAAGAAAGAGCATTTTGTTTGCAGTGTCTCTGGTCTCCCCTACGTTTTCTTTTCTTCCTGTTTTTTTCCCCCTGAATTCGTTTTCTTTCTGTAAACTATTACGTGGTTGTAAATGTTCTGTTTACTATGTAAAAGAGTAGCTTCTATCAAATGACAAAGTATCTCTATCACCATACTGGCCCAAGTATTTCATCAGTATAGTTGAACTTTCCTCTTTACAAATGGGTCATATCTAAATTAGGTAGGCTGTCCATATTTATTGTTGTTCAGTGTTCCTGGTAATTTATCATCATCCTCATGACTGGCTACATGGCTTCCATGTATGTTCTCCTTCTGAGATTTTTAGAAGATCATTCTGTAAGGGAGTCTAACAAAGTTAGATATTCCAGGATATTTATTTCTGATTCAAATGCAGATCTTGAGATTTCTGTTAACTAGCCAGCTAGTGACTTGGTTTCTAAACCCTTTCCAAATACATAGTTTAAACAAATGTTGTATATATCTGAAACTTTCAACCTAGAAATTTAGTCATGTAGATCAAGCTTCTTTTTAATGTCATTGGGCGCATCTACACATGGCTGTACAGTGCCTTCATTACTGCGCCGTATTTTAGTAGTTCATTTTGAAAGTACTAAAAGACGGTGCAGTAGCAGCCTATACTGTGCCATGCTGGCCACACACGGTTATTTTTGGCTGCTATGTTGCCGTAGCAACGTGCTATAACGAGGGAGCGCATTGCTATGGTGACATAGCAGTGGCGACCCAGTTTTTCCCAACACATGCTATGGCACCCTAGCACATCGCTACGGGTCATATCTAAATTAGGTAGACTGTCCATATATAATGTTGTTAGCACACCGTAGCACATCGCTACAGTGGCATAGTGTCTTGTGTAGTTGTGCCCATTGTGTGTTATACAGAAAATGATTTCTTATTTGCCTAGTTGAAAATGTTTATGGAAGCTATTTTGACATTGTAGACATGCAGTATAGAACAAAAGGTGTTTAACTTAGCAGAATTCTATGTGTTGCATGTTGTACATGATTTTAGGGAAGTTACGCAGCACTTTTCATAACTGAGGTATTTCAAAACTTATAAAAGCAGTTTATTGAATATTGGTAGTGAAGATACTGGAATTAAATGCAGCGGCCATTATGCAGTTAGCAGCAACATGTTCTTTTTTTCAAAACAGGACAACTGCAATCTGGCTCTTTGTTCATGTCCTCCTTCAGTTTCTCTGTCTGTACACAGAAGGAGACTGAGCTCTACAAGGGACCACAGTTTGAAAAACTCTTTAATCTTTTTGTCTTCTTCATGACTGTATTTAGACTAGGGTATTTCTGTGTCAACTCTCGGCTGTTTGTTGTCACAAGAACAGGAAAGGAGGTGATTCTTATGACAAATAGGAGGGGAAGTGGACCGTGAGAAAAATTCCCAATTAAAATAGGATTCAAGATATGGAAAAGTTTGCAAACCCAATTTAAGAACTGATTGATCATTTTTCTTTGTACAATGAGATGGAGAAGTGTTTCTGAAAATGAACAGACTGTGCAGAACATATTTGATGGTGAGGTACCAGGTGATAAAAGTGTCTCTGCTACTTGATGTCCAGAGAAATAAAAATAGACTACTGAGAAGATTGAAGATTTCAACCTACTGTCTTGTAGCAAACTAACAAAACAGTAATCTTTCTGCTGCAGCTTTGGTTCTACTGCAGTGATAGTCCAGTATAACCAACTCCTATAAAAATAAAAATAAGAATAATGAAATGTCACCACTGATGGGTAAGTCTTTATCTAGCTTGTTGTTCCAAATATGGAATTAGCATAATTGAAAGGGCAGTTCTAAGGCCTTTTGAATCATTACAGAGTTTATGGGACCTAAGTTCCACATCTTTTGCCTTTCAGTGTAAGTAAGGACAGCAAGGCAAGTTCTTCCTATTCTTGTCAGACTTTACTCTCCTCTTGCATTAAATGTAGTCTGGAATATTTGAGCTTGTGCAGTTAGCATAGAAAAGCAATGAGCCCCAGAGGCAATAGAAATAACTTCTTTTGGGTGCCAATGTTAGTTTTTAGTGTAAAATATACTGCAATAACTTATGTGCATTAATGGAAACACAGCAGTAGGCAACTGTTGATCCCCTGGACACATAAGAGGTCTAGTCAGATGCCTGATGGATTTGTTTGTGGCTGACAAGCTCAAATTGAGAGCAAGAAAACACAGAATCATTACAATTAGTGCTGTTTGAGTGAGAAAAGCAAAATTGTCCTGTTTCTCAGCTGCAGGCTTCTGGGGTATTACAGCACCTAGATAGTTCAGTAATGAATATTATTCATTTGGAGAATTTAAAATAATATTTTATTTTCCAAACATTTATTCATATGACGTATGAACTTGAATGAAGTGATTCATTGTGATTATCTGTTAGGTTTTGTAGTGTGTCAGGCATTGTAGACCTACCAGTTATAGAGATGAGGGGGCTCAGCTGAATTTTTTGGTGGTCCAAGGCTTTTGTTTTATAGTGACTGCTTATTGTGTGTCTGAACTTTATGGGAATGCTAAATTAGTTAATTCTTTTTTAGTTAAATTCTGTTCCTTTCCTTAGCTTTACCAGCAGATGTGTGGTAATTGGAATTACAAATTGAAGTGCTTTTTTCTTCATCATCTAAAGGGAACAAATCAAGTTATACTGAAGAATTACATACCTGCATTCCCTGGAAAAAAATTAGCGCAGTTTTGTTGCTTTACTAATCACTGTTCTTCAGTGGGGTTTTTAACCCCTTTGCTTCAGTAGCATCTTCCAATATTCTTACATTTTTCTTCTGATTACCATCATATTTAGCCAGAATCCATTCAAAATGATGTGGCCTAGGTAAGCCCAAGTCTCAGCCCAAGCAGCAGGGTCATAGAGACACATACAAGGGATTTGGAATATTTGACCAGGTGGTAAATAAATATCTTCTTTTGTTTTGTTGTATTCTGCAATGAAGATGTTTTTATATCTGCATCAACAGAAACTTCTATGGGGAATAAGTGTAATAGTAGATACATGTATGAACAGAGACATGGAGTAACTTTTAACTTAGTTTGACTCCAGTGTTGTTTTTGTGGCAGAAAATTACTTGGCTGCATCAAGTCTTGAGCCCTTCTGGTGATTCTGGACTCATTTTTTATGAAGTAGCTGATATTCTTAGGTACGATTTGATTTAATAAGTTGGATAAGTACTTGTAAAAATGTTATAAGCACAAGCAGTTGGAAGAGGTCTTCCTGTATATATGGTTGTAGGGAGATTGAAGAGAAAACATGAATTTCTTGTTATCTGCAATAATACTTAGTTTAAAAAAATCATACTTAAGAGACAATAATAGTTGTATTATTTTCAAAGTATATTTTGGAGTGGATTTTTAAGGTTGTATGATCTAGAAAGGTTTTGGATCATATACTGATTATTAGGAAGCAGACTTGTGGTCATATAGAAATATTTTAAATTGCTGAATAACTAATAAAAAGGTTTGTCTAGTTGGGATTGGAGATAAGGGGTCCGCTATCTCACAAGTTTGAGCGACCAAACATGAACATTTCAGGATATAAAGAAAGAAGAAAGTGTTTCCTATGGATTTCACAAAATTGTAGTTACTAGAGCCCACACAACCCATTTTTTAATCTATTTTTTTCTTTAGAAGAAAAGACAGAAATATTCAGATTAATTTAGTGAGAGGATCTGACACACAAACATTCATCCAAGTTCCTGTAAGTGAGATCTGGTTGTCTGATAATTGGATACAGATAGTGCTGTATCAAGATTTAATAATGTATTTAAAATACAAAGTACAGAAATAAAAATTCTTTTCTTTTTTTCTGTTCCAGGTTCTCTGGGAGATGCTAACAAGGGAGGTCCCCTTTAAAGGCTTGGAAGGATTACAAGTAGCTTGGCTTGTAGTGGAAAAAAACGAGGTAAGACTACGTTTCTACATTCAGGTACATAGATCAGAAAACAGTATTGGGGTTTTGCAAAAGACTTTTTCATCTTCTTCAAATTGAAAGTAAGTTCACGCGTATGGAAAGATTAGCAGTAGGAGCTAACACAAAGGGTCAAAGTGATGTTATTCCTCATGAATGGACCCTTTACATCTAATTGTTGCAGCTTCACGTCGTGATGCTGTAGATCAAAAATTGTACAAGTACTGTACTAGTTTCTCAGTCTCAATTGTAAAACCTAGGGGTTTGTTCTTAGTGATGAAAGAAGCCATTGCGTCCAAGGTAGGGGAACAGTTTAACTCCATCTCCTGCGTTTAGGACATCTTTTTACTGGCCGGGAGTTGATATATCTGTAAGAGACCTTCAGCTACTTCAACTTAACTCTCCCAGCAGGAGTCACTATAGTACAAGAAACTGTCGCTTAGATGAAAATTTCAAAAATAAAAGAAGAAAAAATAGTTAAAAAAAGAGAGAAATTACAGTTTTGCCACCTACGTTCAACACTACATTGAAGATGAGCTCCTCACTGGTATCGGCAAGGCTGTGGCATAGCTGCAAGCTTCCTCATGCAGAGTCTTTCCATTTCAAAAGAACTTCAGTGGTGTAAACACCATTTGTACAGTGTCCCCAGCCTCGCTTTTCTTCTTGCCACAAATTGAGGCTTTCAGTTAGTTGGATATGTGAGTGTATATCTGAACACACAGTTCCTTGATATCAAAGACAGCAACTACATTTAAAAACATTTAAAGTTAAGATTGGGCCACACACAGACAAGCATGGAAATCCTCAGTTAAGATGAAACTTTCAGTAGCTAGTCACAATAGAAGTTTGGGTAACATTACAGTGGTAACTCACGACTATACAACGCAGTTGTATATTCTTCTATACAAACTGCTTCCCAAAATGCTTTAGAGTTAGATATTTCATAGCAGAAGGTGAAGATATTTGTGGGAGAAATCCTTTCTGTTTTGTATGTCCCCTTTTTCTTTTTCTTTCTTTTTTTTTGTTTGTGTGTGGGGTTTTTTTTAGAATTGTACTGGTTCCATTTCCTGATGTGGGATGTCCAAATTAGATAAAAATTCTTCATGAGTAAATAGAAACCTTATGACATCAGCCTTCCACAATGTACTATTTCAGAACAGCAGACATAATGGGACTCCTCCCATTTTAGGGAAAGTTTCATACATCTAATGCCAAGTTATTTGGGTGAAAATGAGACCAGAGAGTCTTCCATACACAGTATATACCATTCTTGCGTATGCCAAATCCAGAGTTTTATGAAGACTTTATCCTACAAAACTTAGACCATTTGAAATGAGTAAGGTGAATAAATTCAGCATATGCTTGAAAGATATTGAAGGAAGGCACTTATAAATCTGTTATTACTTCCAAAGCAAGACACTATATGCAATACAGTATAAACAAAATATGATGATGGCAGTTGCCTTACTTCAAAAGGAAAAAATAAGTGGATGAGTAGAGCTTGAATTGCATATATAACTAGTACCATCAGCCTGTTGCTGTTATTTTCCTTCATGAGTAAAGAATCACCCTTCTTAGATAGGGTGCTTTAGAGGTTAAATGATCCTTAATTAGTGTATGTGGGCCTTGTTTGGGACCTGTGCACATTTTCATAGGATGGAATTCACCTTGCTAAAATATTTTCCATTTTCTTCATACTTGGAACTTTTTTTTTTACTCTAGGAAACCCTAAATATGAGAGTTCAGATTATGGCTGGCATTAGCTAATGATAAATTGCTCCTGATAAATGTCATCTTTATTATAGTATGTCATTCTTGGAACCTGCTACCTATGTGTTACCTGACAAATAGCATTCTGCACAAGTAAGACAAGTACTAACTCATTTTCCATCCCCTGGAACAGCAAGAGTTGCAGACAAATGCCACAGCAGCACTATCAGACGTATTTTTAGGCAAACGATTCAACCAGGTATCAAGTGTCAGTGCAGTTTGTTTATGCATTGCAGAACTTTCTCTGTTTCTTTCACAGAACATTTTTCACATGGATGTAATCTGTTATTTTAATAATCACATGCCTGTAGCACTATTATTGTGTATCTCAAATTTCCAGGTTTTATTTTGCTTAAATACATGTGTAGTAGAGTTTGTTACACTTTTTTTGGCATACTGTGGCTCATAAGGCTTTGCAGGTCACATTACAGTAATATAAAGGTACAATCTAATACAGCTTGCTCTGCTTTATTTGCAAAGTGCCAAGCTTAGTGCATGTCAAGTACCTCAGTTGGCAAGTTTGTTTGAGCAGAACTGTTATCTCTTGGTTCAGATCCTAGTTGTCTGGCTCTGCTCTGTTTATGACACCTACGAAGGAACCATTTTCCTAGCTTGGCCCTGCTTATTTTTGTGTTCTCCCCAGTTACCAAGTGAAGAGCAGCTTTGTATTTACATGTTAATTTAATTGAGTATCACACATCTGTGGCCAAACAGATCTAGGCTCCCTGTAATAGTTGTCTTGCTATAAGTGTAATGTTGTGGGGATACTTCATTAAATAATAGCATTTATTTTGTGCATAGGCTATGTATAGATGATACTCAGATCATGGCATTTTGGGCCTTTTCACACCACACAAAGAGTTTGCAAATTAAAAGTTTCCTTCATGATGGCCTTAAGATCTCTTGAATCTTTTCAACCCATTGCAATGCAAATGAAACTGCTTTTAAACAGGTTCTCTGTTACAGTGATCCTAGTTGTTACTTGCAGCTTTTTCTCATAGCTTATCTGAAAATATTTGCCGTAACAAAGTTTTCTTTCATCCTTGAGCTCTTTTTTGAAAAATTAATATCATGATTAATCAATCTGATCACAACCTTGTGAAACTTATGGGCAAATCTTAATTTCTCCTACCACACAAACTTTTTTAACATCATTAACCTCCCCTAGTTGACATACTCTTATCTTCATATCCCATTGATTTGCAGTATTAGCAATAGTTTTCGTACTACCCAGTTGAATTACTCATGTGAGAGAAGGTTATTAAGTCTTTTACCCCATTCAATCCATTTTGAGAGGCATGATATTCTAATAGAATACTTAATTGGGAACAGATGTTTAATTTAGCCGTGCCTTGTTTTACCTATTTTGCTGTTAGTGGGGTTTTTTTGTGTTGTTTTGTAGGTTTTTAACTACTCTGCTGGAATATTTCCTGTCCTTCCCTTACATTTGGGATCTGTACCTGACAGGGGTACCTATCTAACTGTACCTCAGCACTGTTATTCTTGGGCTTTTGTACGTTGAACCTTAGTTATAGTTTTTCATGTGCACATTTACTCTGTCAAAAGACTGGTTAGAAAACTTTAAAAGACACATTTTATAGAAAGCACATTATTAAATCATCAAAAAAACCCCAAACACATTGCTTTCATTACTTCTATTTTCATTGCAGAGATTAACCATTCCAAGCAGTTGTCCCAGAAGTTTTGCAGAACTGATGCGTCAGTGTTGGGATGCTGATTCAAAGGTAGTTAACTTTATTGTGTTTGTTTATTGCATTGCTTTTCTTTTTACTTTTAATAATTTTACTATATGTTAGTCTTATTTTGGACCTGGACCATTATTGCTATTATAAACTATTTCACAGTTTCCCTATCAAAATTAGACTTTTCATTACCATGATCTAGAACATGTTTGCTTTGACTCTTATCAGACCTGTTTTTTCAATTAGGATCATACAATCATAGAAAATTAGGGTTGGACGGGACCTCAGGAGGTCATCTAGTCCCACCCCCTGCTCAAAGCAGGACCATCGCCAAATATATAATACCAGCCAAGGCTTTGTCTAGCCTGGTTAAAAATCTCCAAGGATGAAGATTCCACAACCTTTCTGGGTTAAAAACAAGTTCTTCACTACCCTTCTCATGAGAGAGTTTTTCCTAATATGTAACCTAAACTTCCCTGGCTTCAACTTGAGACCATTGCTTCTTGTTGTGTCTAAATATCTATGTGCTAAATGGAATTCATATCAATAGGACCGGATAATAAGAATTTGTACATTTGTCTTTGATTTAAGAAAAGCAGTTCTTAGCAACAGAAGTTTTTTTCCCCTAAAGTTATTTGTTCACAGATACCTGAAAGCAGTGACCATAAATTGTAATGGCTGAAAATGGAGTTTTGACATTTGTAATTATGCTGAGAGTGTTTGTAACATCCACTATTTCACAATGTGAGTGAATATGGTAGAATTAAGTCTTAAATTAACAGGAAAAGTTGCCCGGTGTTTATATTTGAAAGCATTAATGACTAGCCTTATTTAAAATATATTACTAAAATGTGAAAATGAAATTGAAAAATGTTAAACAAGAAATACCACATTAAGCTACTAAACATCTAAACCTGTTCAACTGCCCTAAAGAAAATTAAAAGAGTACTTAAAGGGAGTATTTACTCAAGGAAGGCTCATGCCAGTGATGGGAAATGTCCATCTCAAGTTAACTGCATTCCCCATCTTATTGTACAAGAAATTGTTTGGAAGGGACCTCTGGATGTAATTGGACAAAAAAAATTGGAATAATTTCAGATGTGTTATCAAATATAAGCATTTCCTTTCCCTGTGTTAGTGGTTAAAGGCAGGAAATAATATTCCTGCACCCAGCTGCATAGGGGCTGAATTTTTGTCCTACTGAAGTCAAAAGGGCTTCAGCCATTATTTGTGGAACTAGGTTTCGTCCAGGGATAAAGCCAGATCATCTTGTCACTTGGGAGGAATTATGAGCAGGAAATACGAAGGAGTTCCTTTACTACGACTTATAAATCCACCAGCACATTCAGTAGCAGCATGTTTTCCAGATGGAAACTCAAAGCCTCTTCACCGCATGCAGGGTCTCAGTTCTCCTACCGCTTCAAATGAAGAGAGTTCCTTAGTTCATAAATGGCTCTGAAGAAAAGCTACTGCAACTTTAGTCTGAATTACCCGTTTCTTCAAATTGCTAGTGGGCTGGAGCATAATGATCATTCTCCCAAAACACTCCCTTCAAATCCATAGATGCAAAAATGGAGAATATAAGTACCTCATCTGGAAACAAGGAGAGGTTCATACGTGGAGGTTTGCATGAATCTCTGGCTCTTGGATAATGGATTTTCCTGAGATATTTCAGACCAGTTTGTTCATTGTTAAAAGTATTGCTTCTGAGAATGTATATAGTGCAGTTTCTGCTGTAGTATACTGCAGTGTGCCACTTTCCCTTTGCCCATGATAGTCTATCATCTTAGGTTTTGCTTTCCATATTACAAAATTTCTGTTTGAAAAAATTGTTCTATATCATTACATTCAAATCCCTATGAATGAAGCATGTATAGAGTGCACACAATTTATGTAGTAAGCTCTGTGCAAGTTAAATTAACTTTATTAAGAGCTTTGAATGTGTTTAAATGCTAGGTTTTCATGAATATTAAAAAACACTTCTAATAGACAGCTACTTATCTTAAACAACCATTTTCAACTGTCTGTTTTTCTACCAGGCGCACACTTTTTTTTTTTTTGGCCAGGATACTAGATGATTACTTTAAAAAGCTTTCTCTGTATGAATCTTTTTCATCACCAGGGAGACAGTAGAGCTCCTGCGCTAGGGTGTTTATACATATGCTCCAGGAGTAGGTGTGGGGCACTTTAATTAGAGCAGCTCCAAGAGCCAATTTCATTAAGGTACCCAGAGAATCTCATGTGTCAGTGTCCCCGTGCTTAAAAATGGTGGCAGGGTCACTTTAACTTAAGCTCATTTGATTAATCGAGCCTGCTCTGGCATGCTGTAATTACAGCACGTTGGAGCAGCCTCACTGCTCGTATATAGGCACTCTTAGAGATTAACTGGTTCACGGAGGTACCACTTTACTTTGTCAGATGCTATGAATGGACTACCTTCTGCCTGACTTGAGACAAAAGGCCTTATTACATGTTGTACTTTGAGCAGCTCAAATGTTAATCGGCTAGCTAGCTTGGAGTTTGGGGCAGTTTAGAAACCTTCTCGGACTGTCCCAAACCTGTGCAGCTGTGACTTGCTGCTAGCGCCTGGTGAGCAGGGAGGTCTCTTCCAGCCCTACTTCTCTGTGATTCTCTAGACTTCACCTGTTCCTTGCCTGCCGCAGCAGCAGCATTCTAGACTGGAGGAAGGGGAGGGAAGCAGTGGGGTCCCTCGAGAGCAAGCCTGAGGGGCTCGGTGGGAGCTGTGAGGGGAGGCCTCTGCCTGCCCAGCTTCCGGCACACGTACTCTAGGCTTGCTGTCATACACATCTGTGTGCATCTCCTAGCCACACACATCCCATAGGCTGTTCCCAGTGCCTGGGCAACTTCAGCCTAGGGGGACTTAGCTGCTTTTCTGTTTCTTCCCCCTCCATCTTCACCCCCCAGCTCTGCCCCACATCCATCCCCCCATTCCTCCTTGGTGCCCCCAGGCCCAGTGGGGGCAGCCCAACAGCACATGGAATGAGTAGACAGCCCCAGGACCCAGGCAGAGGGAGGCCCAAGTAGCAGCCCCAGGAAGCTGGTGGTGGCAGAGGCAGTGGACATAGGACTGGGGGCTCCAGTAGTCAGCTCCCTCCCAGGTTGGCTTCACTCTGCATCTGGGAGTAGAGTCCACGTGCAGCCAACTTCCATGTCCATACAGGCAGTAGCAAACCCCCACAGCTTAGATCCACATCCAGCTGCCCCACCCTGAAGCAGTGCCTTCCCTGGCAGCAGGCTGCCCCCTACCCTGCAGCAGCCACTGCCAGTGCTTGCTGGGCTGTGTGGGGATCAGATGCATGGAGCAGGGTGCTGCTGGAGTTGCAGGGCTGGAGCTCAGACCTTGCCAGAGCCCAGCCAGGTTTGGTGGCGCCCTGGGGCTGGCCACACTTTCCTCTGCTTCCCAGGGCTTGGCAGGGGAAGCTGTGGGACACAGGGCCCAGCAGTGGCTGCCTGTCTAGACAGGCTCAGTCTCGAGGGGGGGAAGTTCCCTAGGTTTCTGTTGTTGGACTAGGGGGCTGGAGGCTGGGGGAAATAGAAAACCTGTGGCTCCAGTCCCTGGGCCTCTCCACTAAGCAGCTGGGGGTATGAGAGCCCACATAACAGGAGGATGTGGGAGGGGCTGCTGCATCCTGGGATATTGGAAAACTTTACCTTGAGTGGCACATCTGTGGGGAGTGGCCACACATTAATGGAACAGGAGCTGGGTTGTGCGGCTCAGAGATAATCCTACCCTGGAGTGCCATAACTTTGTGCCTCATAATGAGTGCTTTAAGCCACTTAATGATGTTAACATGGAGACAGTCTAGGGGTTAAGAGCTCCAGGAGCCGTCCAGAATTAATGTGTAACAGTGCCCTAGTACAGCTAACCACCTCTCTTCTCATCACTACAGATACCTGTGTTACAACAGAATCTTCTTTTGTTTTGGTATCATCTGTTCCCATGGCTCATCTTCATCTGTTTTCTGACAAAATGATAACAAATGATCACAAATAATATTATAGTAAAAAAATT